CTCTCTCTCTCTCTCTCTCTCTCTCTCTCTCTCTCTCTCTCTCTTTCTCGTGTAACACAAAATACAAAAAAAAAGAAAAAAAATGAAAATGAAAAAGAATTCCGATTCACTGCACTAATTCATTCATTCAGTTTTTTATCAAAAAAATTGTTAGAGTGCGTGCCTAAATCATGAGTCAACCAACCAAACGAACTGATCTTTGAATTGATGATGCCATTGATCATCATCAAGGAATTTCATTTAGGTTAAATATGGATGGAATGTTGGTGGAAAAAACTAAATTTTCTTTTTGATTCTTATGACCAGGTGATGACGATGATCGATGGAATTGAATTGAATTGTATGGAATGTAGTTTGTTCGTTTAGTTCATTTCAGTGATTGTTGTTACCTTGTTTAGTTAGTGTTACATAAATCCCTAAAGTGTATGGACAACACTTTTTTTCTCTCTCTCCCTTTTCCTTTGATGTTGTTGATGAGATTCTTCATTTTTTTCTCGCATTAATGTTATGTGGGAGCAAAATTTCAAAAAAAAAACAGAAAATTTTTCAAACAAACAAGAAAAAATGAGAAGTTCTCTCGGGAGTCATTCTCATCTCATCAATTTTTTTCGTTTGCATTCTCTCTCTGTATGTTTTTGATATGTTTTTTGTGTTTGAATTTCCAAAAACAACATTTCCATCAACAAACAACCAATTTGCGTATGTTTGTTGTTTTTCAAAAAAAAATCAAATGTTGCCGTTTCGTTTCATGAATCAAGATTGTGAAACGTGCGAAAAAGAATGAAAGAAAAAAATGAAAATGATGAAAAAATAAAAACTACTAAATCAAAAAACTTGGCGCCTTAGTTTTATGATAATGTTTTGAAATTGTAAAAAAAATTCTGTAAATAGCTATTCTGTTTTGTTTTTTTATAGCTGAAAAAAAGAAATATAACCATAATCATCATTTTCACCAAGTTGTCGTTTTGGATTCCAAATGTCGTCGAATGAAATCGTTTTTTTTCGTTTTCTTGGCGACAAATGGATTCCATTTTTTCACTCTCTCAAATGATACTAAATTTGCTTTTGATTACTATCTGGGGAGATCATCATCATCATCATGGCTGCCAAAATCGTTGCATTCACAAGCCGTTATCTCTCTAGGGTTCTTAACTCTTTTTTCTCCGAGTTATGATTGTATCAGTATTTTCGTTTTTTTTTTGTTCGTTTAGTTTCCAATTGCTAATATGGTGTTTAGTTTTTTTAACACGTGAAATTATTCGTAGTTCGATAGAGAAGAAAAAAACGAAAGCGATCATGATTTTTTATGATATCACACTTTGTTCGCTTGTCACACAATAAATAAATGGAAATTTTGCTTTAAATATAAAGATTGTTTCTTCTTGAAAAGCATATGTTTGCCATTAAAATTAAATTGTTTTCATATGTTAAGTTAGAGGTTAGGGGGTTAGATTTGTTTGTTGTATGGCCATTATGAACATGATGATGATCAATATAATCAATATAATCACATATATCCGCCCAGATTTTGTAACACAAAAAACAAAAAGAAAAAGTTGTTTCGAAACTGGCCATCAGCCAACCAATATAATATTGAATTTTTATGGCATCCATCCAAATATATTTTTTTCCAGCCAATTCTTTTATTGAGTATGTTGTTGTTTTTGTTTCATTGTTGGTTGATTTGGTTTTGTTGTGTGTGTCTATAGTGGACAACATTTGAAATTGGAGATTCAAAAAACAGATTCAAACAGCCAGAAAAAAAAACAAAAATTATATGATAAGATGAACCAGATAACAGTGTGTGTGCTGTACGTATTTTATTGCTAATCCTCTTTCTTTGTTGTTGTTGTTATTATTAAAGATTCTGTCCACCATAATAATGATTAGTGATTTGTAGTATGTCATAATAACAACAACAACAATAGCAAGGGACAACGGCTATTTCAACACAACAGTAACTTTATTAAATGATAGCTTCTGGTTGTTGTTGTTGTCCAAATACCGTCAACATATCTTTCTTTTGAGAAACTCTCATGATGATGGATCATAATAAAAATAATAATAAAATAAAGCATCTTGAAAGAGGATTATGATGAACCTAAATTAGAGATTTTTTTACTTTTCTGAATGGGATGCTTACTTTTTTCATTCATTGAAACACACAGAGAGAGAAAGAGAAAATGATAATGGGCTTTTCATTTTTGTTGGCCGTTTCGTTTTTTTGAGGAGAATAAGGGGATGAAAAGAGAGAGAGGATTCCATTTTCATTTCCAATTTTTAAAGCCAATGAACGATATGAATGTGTATGTGCTATGTTGTGAGCTTTATATGTGTAATGAGATTTAAAGTGACTAGGGAGCCCATCCGAAATTTTTCCTTTCTCTCTCTCTCTCTCTTTGGCATTCGATTGGAGTCCATCTGAGATAAAATGCTGATGATGATGATGATACAGCATTTTACTGATCCATCTGGCTACTGGCAATATTATATAACTATGACCATATATTTCTATACTCTCAGATGGTATTTCCGTTGAATTTTGTTTTGGTTTTGTTGGACAAGCTGCTGCTAAGTTTGAATTATTTGGTTTGAGTGGTGGCGGTGGTGACCATCACATTTTGGATCCCTTATTTGAAAATGAGATTCTAGAAAAAGAAAAAGAAAGAAAAAATAGCCAAACTAAATCAGAGAAAAATAATACAGCTCTTGTCTTTGTTGGACAAACACTAAACACCAAACAAATCCTTTGCAACTACTGCTACTCAATATTACATAACACAATATCATAGGCTTTAAGTTTTAAATTTTGTTGTTGTAGTTGAAAAAATTTAATAAACTTGGCCATTCTATCAACATTATGGTACTATGTGTATAAGGTTTTGATCGAAATTCAATTTCAATTTCAATTTCAGTTCTAGATCGATAAAATATTCGATCAATCAAGCTTGCATGTGTCCATTTCGGGAACATTGGTTTCATTTCATTTTATTCAATTTTCATGTTATATTCATGGTCATTCATACAGTTAACAAGAAAACAAATTCTTGTTGTTTGCAATGATCAAAAGAAAAAATACATTGATCGAAATGAAATTTTTTATCAGAATATTCATACTTAGGATTGTTGATTGGGAAAAGGGAAAGATAAAACTTTGTAATTTTAAACTTTTATTTTAAAATGTTCGCAGTTAAATGCTTTTTGTTTGTTTGTTTGCTAATGATGTTGCTGATCTTTTCTTTTCTTTTTTTGAACAGGAAAAAGTTTTTCATTAACAATTACAGTGAGCACAAATCCACCACAAATTGGTACCTATACTAAAGCTATTAAAGTAACTGTGGATGGACCTAGAGAACCAAGAAGTAAATCAAGTAAGTTTTTGTAAAAAATATCATAATAATTTTCCATTTTTTATCGGGTATCTCTACCACCCTCATTTTTATTTTGTTTCTCTCGATCGGTTGCTATATCAGCCAGTCAAACCAAACCAGAAAAAAGAAAACTGGTATCGCAAGCAAAACTAGACTAGCCGTGTGACCAAAAAACAAAACCAAATCGCGATATGATTGATTCGGATTCGGATCCAATCCTCCCCGCATTTTACACGCAAACACACACACTCACTTACATACATCCCATCGATTTATGGACCGACCAAAAAACAAAAATTGCGTTCACACACCAAACCAAAAACCAATACCATTTTCAAAAAGGAAAAACCTACAAACTTATAATACCGACCTAGGGCAAATCGACCTAGCATTATGCATATTTTGGTTTTGCCTTTTGCTTCTTTCTATGAATCAATGAATTTTCCATTTTTTTCTGCTGCCACATAGCAAAAAACTAATGGAACCAGCTTTATTTTGGCCACAATTTCTGTTTTGTTTTGCATTGCTTTTTTACCAATTTCAAACCAAACAACACAATGGTCTACGATATATGTTGTTGTTGATGATGATGGTGGAAGGAAAAACCAAAAAGTTTTTAATCCGGGACATTGCTGCTGTCACTGTTATTTTTGAATTTACCATTATTATTTCTTTGGTGACCCTATGGTTTGTTATCGGTCGGTTTGGTTTGGTCGATCATTGACGGGTATTGTTGTTGTTGTATTCACCAATTTCATTGATTTGAATGAATATTGTGCTTATTGTTGTTGTTATAATAATGATCAATGATAGTTTGACAATTCCAACCAACCAACGGTAGCTAGCGCGTTGCTGAATGAATGTGGCCCTGTTTTTTTCTTTTCACTAACGACAACACAACCAAGCAGCAGCACTTTTGAGGCTTGTTATTTTTTTTGTTTCTTTGGCTTACCATTTTGCGTATGTTTGGTTTGGTTATATGGCGGTGTTTTTGTTGGGCTTGGATTTTTTTAAATATAAAGGTTTTTTAGTTTGGTCTAGCTATATTTGCAACTAAAGTCTTTTTTGTTGGCTTTTCGGTTAAGCAATTCGGTTTATTGTGTGGTGTGTTTTTAGCTTTTTTTATATTTTTTTCCGTTGTTGTTGAAAGCATCCAAGCTATGACAATAGGGTTATCACCATCATATACAAATATATGTGTGATTTTGATTTTCTCATGTGATATATTTACCTTACCTTATCGTTTTCTAGGTTTGTTTGCCAATTCGACCATTTTCGTCTTTGATCTATTGTTGTTGTCGTTTCATTTTTTTGACGTCTTTATTTCATTCTTTACCTGTCACACACACACAAATACATTGCCAGATTGGTCACCGAAAGGAAAAATGTCGCAAATGTTACTTATTATTTAAAGCTTGCGGTTAACTATAGCAAATCACAATACCGCAATTGATTTTTCTGTTTGTTTGTTTGTTGAAATTTTTCAAATCAAGCTAAAATGCAAATACAACACAAACAATAATAAACGGAGAAAAAAATACCTGGGTTCCTATTCAAAAAAAATCCAAGTCAAAACAATATTGACAATAAATTTTCTTTTCTTTTTTTTGGGGCTGTGAAAAATCATTATTATCCTCATAATGAATAATGATGATCAATCAATGAATTGTGAATACATTTTGAGGGCACAAAAAAAAATACAGAAATCTTTTGGGGTCAAAATGTAATGTCCATTATAATAATAATAATAATAATTTGTCCGAATTTGAACAAAAATCATTCAGTCCAGTTCAATCATTATCAAAATGGAAATTATCCATTATGCACAGATTTTTCATTCTTTTTCTATTTCTACCGAAACAGTGTGTTTGTATTGCTAAGTTAGTTACGAATTCCATTCATGCATCGAAAGAATCTCAACAAAAAAAAAGAAAGTTTTTTTTGGTTACATAGAACGGTGTTCATTGTTGCAGCAAATATTTGACATTAACTCAAATAGACAAACAGACAGATGTATTTGAAATTTAAATTTGATTCACTCACTTACTTACTTAGTTTTATTTTATTTTATTCTGTTTTTCTGTTTGGGAATCACTATCTAATGGCTAGATAGTGAGTGAATGAATGAATAAGTTCATTCCGGATACAGCGAAAAAGATCATAACAACATCGATAATAGCATCTTTATATTATCAGTCAACATTCGTTACACACGCATTCAAATTCATTTATAGACATAGTAAAAAATGATGATGGCATCCATTAGTTTTTTTCGCTGTAAGGTCATGAAATGAGATTGGCAAAAATTTATTGTTTTGAGGGTAAAATCATTGCTTGTGAAATGCCAATATAGCATCAATTGGAAATTGGTTACTGCTTATTATTTAATATTATTAGTTATAATGATAACTTGGTTCAAATCAAAATAAAATGAAATGAAAAAATGAAAAATGAAAATGAAAAAAAATTATGACAAGACTCTATTGTTAAATAATATTAGCAAAATGAATGAAAGAATGAACGAATGGCGCCTTCCCATTTCATTTTTTTAATTAAATTTTTCTCCTTTCTTCATCATCATCGTCGTCATCGTCGTTGTCGTTATTAGGAGTGAGAGAGGGGTTCGAAATGTTTGTCAACAACAAAAACAACCCAAACACGAACCAAAAAATCACAGAATTAGAGACAATTCAACAAAAAACAAACTGGAGTAAAGTTTGTCACTTTTGTCATTGCATATGTCAAGTATGTGTCTGATGATGATGATGATTATTATTATTATTAATATTGACAAGCCGGGCTCATCATCCACAATTGACAATATGGCAATCTTTGATGGCAAAACTTAAACTAACAATTAAATGATAAGTGTTCTATACACACCCACCTTCCCCCACTGCCTATATAATATATACACAAGAAAAAACGCCCAATTTTTTTCAACAACAAAAAATGATATGAACATCCAATGTATGTAACATATGCTGCTGTGATTGCCATATTTTTATTTAATGCTCGAATTCACAGTTTGGTTATATATGATGGTGATGATGATGAAAAATAAAAATAAAAAATGAAAATAATAATAATAATAAATGAAATAAAAGGGAAACCAAACAATGTTTCACCCGATTCAGGCCCAAAGATTATCGAAACAAGCTCGGTCGCTTTTGGCTTTGTTTGCTGTATGTTGTATGCTGCTAAGTGAATGAAAGAATGGCTTTAGTTTGCTTGCACACCATATAATGGCTTTTATTTTCATTCATCCGGATTTTTATGATTTTTGGATGGTGGATGATGGGGGGTGGGGGAATCGTCCCATTCATTTGGTTGGAAATTTTTTTCTTTTTTTTGGCTGTTTTTCACACGAGCAGACTATTGGTTTTGGTCGATTTAAAAATGAAAAAAATCCATACCATGCCAGCCACCAGAACCAAATGGCAATTAACCGAAACGGATCTTTCTTTCTTCTTTTCTATTTTATGAATGCAATGTATTTTTTTCAACTAACCGATCGATCGACCGTTATCGGGACACCACACACACACACTTAACAAACAAAAACATACATCACATCATTCAGTAGATTGGTCGATTGCCGAATAAATGGAAATCATAATAATAATAATCATCATCATTGGTTGAATGGTGACAGAGAAGAAGGAAAAAAAACTTGCACGCGTTGGTTGGCATTAGTTCAACGTGTGTTTGTGTTTTTTTGCTTTTCTGTAAAGTTTCCCCAATCATTATTAGACTTTCTCCCTCTCTTTCCCTTTGTTGAAATTGATATTATTATTATCAATGAGATTGGAATCGAACATCAGATTTGCATCCATCCATCCAGACATACATCTAGTCAAATTCAATGATCGATTGCATTTGACTAGTGGCGCGACCTGATTTTTGTTTTGTTTTTGTTTTTCATTTAAATAATATGGTCAAATAAAAATGTAGAACCCGGTTGTTTATGTTTTGCCACTAATCCAATTAACTAATTTAATTTTGTTTGGTTAACTTTTTCGCCGCCCATTCAGGTCTAATGAATCAATGTTGGCCATTTCCTGGTGCACAACCAAATCATTTTCGGGCGTTTGCCAATTCTTTTGTCCCACATCCTCGCCATGGACTGGATCCAGGCCGAACTTGTCCAATAACACCGTTACCATGTTCTACTGAATGGCGTTTAGCCGCAAGAGTTCAAGCTGAACAATGGGTTTTACAAGCAGCTGCTGCAGCTGCGGCTGCCGATCTTCCTCGTCGTTTTCCACGACCACCATTATCATCATCTTCGGTGCAAAACTCTTCGTCTACGTCGACAACCTCAACCAACACAACCAACACGACTACAAATGTTACAACATCCAGTTCGTCCGCTGCATCACAAGATCCGGCAGCAGTAGCTGCCGCTGCAGCAGCAGCAGCCAACAATCCATTATGGTCTCAATATTATGCTGCAGCTAATTTACCTTTGTTTGCTGCTGCCGCAGTCAATAATCGACCAGCAGTGACTTATGGTCCAATGAATGAAGGTGAAATACAATCGAACAAATCCCCTTCAGCAAATGGAATCAATGCCAATAAACAGCCATCATCAATTGAACAAAACAAAAATGTCTCATGGAAACAACAGTCCAACCATCCTCATCATCATCATCATCATGGCCAACAACAATCGGATCAATCTTCGCGACATCACAAAGGTAAGCGACTTAAGATCCATATGCTACACACTTACACACATTCAGGTTCAGGTGATGATGATCATGATCAGAGTCGACATTCATTCATTTTTTTGAAAAATTTTATAATCGCATTATTGTTTTCATGCATAAACAATACAAATATGGCAACTTTCTCCTGGTATCCTTTGTGCTATCCAAAAATAGATTCACAAAACTAGACCATCATTAAAAAGAATTCAACAAAAAGAAAATTAAGCACTAAGACGATTACTTATTGCCTGACTGACTATCTTGTCATCGACTAAACATACATTCCAATGCTCGGTGTACTGCAAATAACTTTGTCTCTTTTTCTCTTGTTTTACCATCACAGAAGGATCCAAACCAATAACAAGCCCAAAACATGTAGCCAAATTGATAGAACGCAATGGAACAGCCAACAACAACAATACAATGACCAATGGTTCTATGGATAATCTACTAACCGCCAATACTGTCAATTCTCGTTCATTTCCTTCCGCTGCAGCCGCATCACTTGAATTGAATGCAGATCAATTAGCAACATCATTCATTCATAATAATCATCAATTGGCTGCAGCAACAGCCGCATTTCTTCAATCGGCTACATCGACACCATTCTATCCTCCTCCACATCCACCAGCTGCTGCTATTGTTGGCCGATCATCATCATCAACAATCAACAATTCAGCTAATGGTCATTCTAATTGTGGCCAAATCGATTCTTTTCAAACACCATCATCACCACCCGCGACAGCATCATCCATTCATAGTTTACCATCGAATGTTAGTGCATTTTTTTCACCACATCCACATACAGCAATGTTGATCGATAATAATGATGTTATCAAAAATTCAAAAGATTCAAATCAACCAAAATCACCAAAATCACAAGAAGATGATAGTGAAATTGAAGAAATTAATGTGGAAGATGATGATGAACTCAGCCATTCTAATAATGAACAAATTAATGGTATTCATGATCAAACCAACAACAACAACAAACGATCATTAGATGAGAATGAAAAAGATATTCATCAGGAAAATCGGTGTGAAAATCGTAAATCACCTTCAATCGAAATTGAAGAAAATGTTGATGAACACCATGATGATGATGACAATGATAATCATGGTTCATTATTAGCTATGACCGATGATAGTAGTGTTGGAGCAATATCGGATGATAGTTCCAGTCATTCAACAACGCCAACAAAAAGGCCAACAGCAGCAAAATTATCGCATAACAACAAAAAAATACGAATCCATGATGAACCAGTTATAGTATCTGATTCATCCGATATAGCTCATTCAGCACAACAATCATCACAAAAGAATAATAATAATAATAATGGTCCTTATGGATCATTGAGTCCAATCAGTTCATCATCACCACCATCATCATCTGGTTCATTATCAAATCATTCCGATATTTCATGGACTAATTCTGGATCCAAATCATCCAATGGATTTTGGCGTCCATATTGAAATAATCAAAAGGCCGAAGCTGGAAATCTAAATTGCAATTTTCATTTGATCAATCAATCATTTTATGGGTAGTGTTTTGCCCGAAAGCTAAAGAATTCTTGACACCAAAAAAACAAAAATCCCATATTAAACTAAACTGAATATGTAAATATTGTCAATTTTGTCAACAAGAAAAAAAATGTTTTAGCTGTCTATTCGATTTGTTTGTTTGTTTTATTTTATTTTGGAAATATTTTCATTTTGCATAAAATAATAAAAATTGAAACCGATTTCAACTAGATTTGAAAAATTTGTTGTTAACTTGCATTCATAATCAGTGCGACAAGAAATGGATTCCGTTTTTATTGCTGTCGTTGTTTGTTTGTTTGAAATGTCACACAATACGAAAACAACAACAAAATACGACAACTGTACAAATATCACCGATGGCAACATTAACCATCATCATCATCATTACATAACATAGGCCTATGTGATCAAATTACATTCAAACATAAAAAAAACGAAAAGCATCCATTTAAAAGAGTCATGTGTATTTCATGTTTTAAGTGAATCAAGTGAAAAAAAGAGTGATAAGGGTTAAAATAGTCATCGATGTAATGTGTTGTTGTTGTTTGATCATGATACTTTTCGCATCATATTTGTCGTTCGTCAAGGAAAAAAAGATTTCAATCTGATGATGATTTTCGGTTCTGTCTGTTTATTCTCTGTCTATTCTCTGTTTATTCTCTGTTTATTTGTTTTTATTTGTTTATTTGTGCTGTCGTGATCGTCGAATATTCCATTTTGCAAATGCAAATGTTAACGGGTTGATTGCTGTTTGAAATGATGATGATGAGTTTAATTAAAAGCACAAACAACATCCAATAATGATTCGAGGAGAAAAACATTCTCCAATGAACAACAATTCTATTTCTCTCAAAATGTAGAATTTTTTTCATAATGTAGTGAATCTAAACAATCTCATTTCCGAAAAACAAAAAAAAATTAATTCCATAATTTTCATCGTTGGATGATGAAGGTGATGTGTGAATCCTTTTTTTCTCCTTCCATTATCATTTTGAAATTGCTTTTTCTGTTTAATTAGACGAAATCCGGACTCTTGGTTTCTGTAATAAGGTTTTTTTCTCGCTGGTATGCAAACAAAAAATTTCCCGGATAGAAAATATAATCCAAGTACAAACATTACCATTTGAATTGAAACAAAATGTTTTCCTCATTTCTTTTTGTTTGGTTTCTTGTAATCATTGACAACAAGTCGACAAACATAAATTGATTATAACGATGTTTGTGATTAATAAACCTGAAAAGGTAAAAGCAAACAAAAAAAGACTTATTTTCGACTTGATTTGATTGACCCGAAAAAATAACAACAACAACAATGTTGACATGGTTGTTTCGACAAACGACAAACGACAACAACAACAATAAGATGGATGTTTTTCTATTGGTTTTAGTTTGCTTGTCCCGAGGTACATTGGTCCCGACCAACCAATAACCGATGTTTTCGTTTTTTTTTGTTCGTTCATTTGCCCAAACAACATTTGTAACGGCTGGTTTTTTGTTTGTTTGAATATGACCCTTGTCTTGTCGTCAATATAATAAATGACTTTCAAGTAAGTAATAGAGAGAGAGAGAGAGAGAGAGAGAGAGAGAGAGAGAGAGAAAGAAAAAGAAACAGGACAATTACAATTTATTAAACAAAAAAATAACAACCCAAATACCGGCAATTGTCATTTATCACTTGGAGTTGAGAAAAAAAAAAGAAAAAATTCGTTTATATCGTTCAAGATTAAAAGACATTAAAACATTGATGATAATCAATGAAACAAAAACAAAAATCAAAAAACTAAGCTAATTGATTGCCATCTAACGGTGCCCGTTAGACATTATACATTATCAATGGGCAAGTGAAATACAGTGGTACCTCGGTTAACGAACACCTTGGTTAACGAATTTTTCGGTTAACGACGATGGGTCAGGAAAAAAAATTACCTTAGTTAACGATGATTAAAAAAAATCAATTTTTTGATTTTTTGCGTATAATTAATTATGAATATTTGATTTTTTTCAACAAAGACAACATTTTACTTATGAGAATTGATGTCTAATCAAGAAATTTCATGAAAATTACAAGTTCCAAATATAATAATCGCTAGCCGAAAATGATTCTTTTTGGTTGAACAAATCTGAATTTCCTTATTCAGCTATGATTACTAACNTAATCAATGAAACAAAAACAAAAATCAAAAAACTAAGCTAATTGATTGCCATCTAACGGTGCCCGTTAGACATTATACATTATCAATGGGCAAGTGAAATACAGTGGTACCTCGGTTAACGAACACCTTGGTTAACGAATTTTTCGGTTAACGACGATGGGTCAGGAAAAAAAATTACCTTAGTTAACGATGATTTTTTCGGTTAACGACGATTAAAAAAAATCAATTTTTTGATTTTTTGCGTATAATTAATTATGAATATTTGATTTTTTCAACAAAGACAACATTTTACTTATGAGAATTGATGTCTAATCAAGAAATTTCATGAAAATTACAAGTTCCAAATATAATAATCGCTAGCCGAAAATGATTCTTTTTGGTTGAAC